GGGTAGGTCGTTTTCATTTTGGACCTCCGGTCGAGGCCATCTTCGACTATCCATATTTACTCTTCTACATGGTATTAAAATTTAGAAAAGTGAACTCTGCAATGATTTTGTAACAGGTATTTACATCATGTTTTGTATTTTTTTTGCAACAAAATTTTCAAGTTTACAAATGCAAACAGATCCTGCCAGTGATGGAGCATAGTTAACTTCAGGGTTAAGAACTAGTTTGCACAAAGCAGATAAGAAAACTGTTTTGGTTGCACCCAGAACAGCTTTAAGATTCGATGCAAAAACAACTACGTTATTAACTCAAATGTTGTTTTCAAAGCGACCAGATGTACTAGCAGCAGCAAAATTAGACTTGAATTCAAAGTTGGACTATCAAAAATTTCAACAAGTCCAAAATCTAGAAAAAGATGTACTAGCTATTGCAATGAGTGAAGCTAGACTTACAGCGTCAGAAGTCCTTGCAATATTATCTCCTAGAATAAAAGACAAGGAAGCTGCATGTGTGCAGTGTGAAACAGATGTAAATGTACACTCAACAATTTATCATCATGAGTGTGAAGTGATTCAGTGGTTAAGTCGATACCAGCCATTTGTATATGATAATGTCGAACAAGTGTTGGTGTCTGTGAAGAGGGCATATATCAGCCGAGACATTCGCAGAAAAGTATCAACAATTTTGACACTATATCATAAATTACATAATGACATTGTCATCAGAACGGATCGAGAAACATCAATATGGCAAAGAGATGCAGAAGGAAGACTGCATAAGAAGCCAATTCGCAGTATGCAAGATGAAGACGTTGTAGGTACTCATGCCTGGAAAAAGAAACATGGATTTTTATTTATATAGATTTATTCTTTGCTGTTATTTGACTTGCTTATTTGTTTTGGGGCATTTCCGCCTTGTTCATTTCTTTATCCTATCTCGGCTCGTCTTATGCTGTTCTCACAAGAACCTATATAGACCAGAATGATCCCACGCTACAGCATAACAACACAACTACATCAACCAACAACAATCACACTATTTACAGATTCATCTGTATACCATACAATTGTTAAAGGGACGGGGCTCACATTGCAAGCCTTTTCCCTCATACAAGATTTGTACAAACTTGGATGGAAGAGAATAAAGCAGGCCATGGCCTGGTGGTCAGGTGGGTGCCATCCTAACAGAACCTGGCTGACCCCCTGTCCAGGGGCATCCCAGACTATACAAGGGGGAGCCCAGTGGTCAGGAGAGGAGTCAGGTACTGGGAGGCCAAGTGAGCACACGATACCCCGCCTCTGGGAGAGCAGGATATGACAATCCAAACAGGACGGGAATTATACCCTTTACTAAGACGGATATAAAGGGGCTTAAGAAACCAATCCTCTACAATAAAGTGATCCAGCTATTCAGTAAAGTCGAAGTACCTTGGAATAACATTAGACAAGGGACTGACATGGAAAAGACAGCTGGACAAGGCTATTAAAAAGGCCTATAAGACCTTCTGGACATGCATAGGCATGTTTAGAAAGACTTGGGGACTGAAACCAAAGGTGGTGTATTGGATACACACTGTGGCAGTAACACGCATAATTACCTATGGCACCACTATATGGTGGCCTAGAGTTAAACTCAAGACAAGTCAGGCAGAACTTAGCAAACTGCGAAGGACAGCCTGCTTGGGAATTACGGGACCAATGAAAACAGCCCCAACAGCTGTAATGGAAATCCTACTAGGACTCCCCCCTTGCATCTGCAGATGAAAGCAGAGACCAAGTTAGGAAATTAGAGAATATGTTGCAATGATCAACGGAGACCCAAATCCGAAGGTTTTGGACATGCATACTTGATTCATGTGTATTGCCATGGAACAGGGCAGAAACTTAGTTTCAGCCTTGGTCAGTACACAACAGCATTCGAGGCAGAAGTGTATGCCATTAAGGAATGTGCAGTTGAGAATTTAGATAGAAACTACAAAAATTCTATATTCTGTCAGGTAGTCAAGCTGCAATTACAGTACTTAGTACACACCATATCACTTCGAAATTAGTCTGGGACTGCCACCAATCCCTCATACAAATGATATGGGTGCCAGGTCATGAGGGTATTGTTCGGAATGAAACCGCAGATCAGCTGGCAAGAACAGGAACTGAATATATTGTGGCGTGTTTTGTGTCTGTCACGCTATAAATAAGTTCATGTAGGCCTCAAATTCCGTAGAACATTTATTGTCCTTCACGCTTACACAATCATTTACACCCACAGTGTTGCGATCACTGCTTACTATAACTCGGCGACACTGGACTGGCTTCGCTGGCGGTGTATAGCAGACTCCTTTCTGCAGCGGATATTCCAGGGCTTTCTTCTTTGGAGGCTATTCCGAGACTTTCTTCTTTGGAGGCTCGATGAAGACTGGCCTCTCAGCTGGCCCGATGAAGACTGAAGACTTCTCGTCGAAACTGGGCTTTTATAACCTTGGCCGCTGTTAGGCAACGGACCCTTTGTTATAACCATGGAGACTCCTGTTAGAACTACAATGGAGCAATTGTTGTCTCCTCTGTAACAATCTATTCTAGCGTTTCCATAGCAGTGACTCTTCTGGAATGCAAACACGTTACATTGCTCCCTTCTAAAGGTTGTTCGTCCCCGAACAGCCTAACGGTTCTCCCTCGGTTTCGTTTCCACGGTGTTCTGTTGACAGTGTCTGTATTCGGTCTTGGTGTCCTGCTGGCATCTTTGTGCATTGTTCGTCTAACCGCATCCGCCCCTCTCTTCGGTGGTGCTCGCCCCCGAGCACCCCCGTGGTCCGGAATTTGTCGGTCGCCTTGTCTCACATTCATTCGTTCTCCATTCATTCTTTACTATAGCCAATACAGTCATTTGTGCTACTAAGGTGAACTTTTGGCTTATGAATCACCACGTAGGTCAAACCACAGAAAGGAATCAGGCAGCTGGATATGTGCAGAAAGTCCTTGTTCTAAAGTATGGTCTCCCACTCCCTAACGATATAGTAAGGGCAACACACATGTTGGGACACTATGCTAGCACTAGATTCATCCTAACTCAAGCTGGCGTAGCCAACATTCTTCCTACTGAGAGCAGGGTTGGTTCTGATGCATATGTGATACAATTCGCCGATGATGCAAAACTCAGGTTTAATGCATCACCAGCCGGTACACATCGCATGGCCGTTTGCTATGAGGCAGCAAGGAGACTGTCGAAATATGCATTCTCACATTTCTGCCCAGATATTTCCGATTTTACTGTCTTACCCAAATGGAGAGCAACAATTATGGCGAACCCAGCCATATATCATGTAGGAGCCCTCTATCTAACTGGAACTCGTGATTCATCTTTCACAGACAATGTATTCGATAACTTTGTCACAGGACCTGAACCAGCTTTCGGCATCTCAATTGGAGTTGCCAAGAAAATGATCAGGGACTGGACAGATAGAAATCACAAAAAACACTGGGACTCCACAATTGGACTCAAACAGGCAAAAGGATTTATATCACGACCCTCTGCCAGAAGAACAAAGGATCTGTTGAAATTAAACAGAGGCCAATTAAGATGGGTGGTAGGATTACTAACTGGATACTGCCACCTGAAAGGACACCATTTCAAACTGGGATTGACAGATGACCAAACCTGTGAAAAGTGCCTACAAGAAGATAAATTAGCCAAACATATCCAATGTATTTGTGAGGCCACAGGTTACTTAAGATTTTTTTCACCTGGCCCAGTTCTTTATGAAACCTACTGACTTTTATGATGTCCCATAAATAAAGTCCTAAATTTCATTCAAAGTGTAGGATTAATCCAAAGGAGAAGCATAGTAAATCATTATTTTGTTGCCGGTATCAGACGAATTTACAAATGTGTCACTCGCCAGTAGCCTTGTGCTAACTCCACACCTAACTGAGCTGATGTCGCCTGAGAAGCAGCGACGGATCACGTATGATGCGCTGCAGACACGCCGGACACTTGCTGCCCTGGAAATGGCCATGCAACAGAGTTCACAGTTAACAGACAGAAGGTAAGACTGAAATTAAATGGAACACATCAGCTTAATCAGCTTCCGGTACATGCTGATTATCTCTAGCTACTGGAAGATAAGAAAAATATAATAAAGAAAAACACAGACATTCTGACACTATTAAGGAGTTTGGTCTAGACCTGAACACAGAGAAAACTATGAGTATCTTACTGTCTCATCACCAGAAACTAGGCCAAAATTATAACAAGAAGAGAGGTTATAGATCCTTCAAAAATGTGGCACAGTTTAAATATTTAGTAATGACAGTTACAAATCAAAATTTTGAACTCAGGATGAAATTGCGAGGAGAATGAATCTGAGTAATGCTTGCTACCATTCAGTCCAGAACAGTTTGTCTGTTCATGTTCCGTCTAAAAACATAAAAACTATAATACATAGAATTTTATAATTTTCCTGTGATTTTGTATGGGCTCAATATTTTGTCTTTGACATTAAGAGAGGAACACAGACTGAGTGTGTTTGAGAAGAGGCCGCTGATGAGTGTATTATAGTGGATGTTATCTGGTCAGTCATTCTTCTTACGTCAAGATAGTCAAGATCCTGTGGTGTCCACATACTGGGGAAGCTGCCCTCAACATTTCTTGCTTCTTGCTTCTTCTTTTGAATTTGGAGATGTATACAGCAGATCACAAAGCCCATGGCAGCAGAGAAGGTCAACCCAGTGTCCAGCAAGAACTTTGATGTGCTCAGTGTTCTGGGAGCTGGAGCCTTTGGAAAAGTATTCCTGGTCTGCAAGAGAGACAGTGCTGATTCTGGCTGTCTGTATGCCATGAAAGAATTGTCGAAGGCTGACATCATCGAAACAAAAAAATTTGTAGAGTACACAAGAACGGAAAGACAAGTGCTGGAGGGAGTGAGAGCCTCTCCATTCCTAATAGAATTGCATTATGCATTCCAGACATCTGAGAAGTTACATCTCATTCTTGGAAGACAGACGGTGCTGATTCTGGCCATCTGTATGCCATGAAAGAATTGTCGAAGGCTGACATCATCGAAACAAAAAAATTTGTAGAGTACACAAGAACGGAAAGACAAGTGCTGAAAGAGAAGGAAGAAATTAAGGCCAAAAGGAAGACAGACAAAGAGGATTTCCTGGTGAAATTAGAATTCAATCAAGAAAAAGTGAAGACCAGCCACAAGGAACTCCTAGCCAGATTGGAGGATGATAGACAGGCCAATATGAAAGCGTGGCGAGAAGAGATGGCCGCCATGAGAGACAATAAGGTGAATGCCAACCACAAGATGTTGGCCTGCCAAGAGATGGAGGCACGTCTAGTAGAAGAAAAGCCAACCTCAGTGGACATGAAACCTGCGGCAGCACAACAACAAGAGGTCCCCGTAGTAATACCAGTCGGAGTAACAATGACCTGCCGAGAAATGGAGGTACGTCCAGTAGTAGTGCCGGCCTCAGTGGACATGAAACCTGAGGCGGCCGAGAGGTACCCGTAGAAGACGCCGAAGTAATGCCGGTCGGAGAACCGAAGAAGAAAAGGTGTAGGGACCGAAATCAGTGAAATATGAAGTATTCGACACGGGAAAATTGTGGACCCCAGAAGAAGTTGGCTGTTGTCCGCGGAGGGACGAGCCACCGTGTGGAAGTGGCACGGCAGAAGAAAACCAGCAGGAAGGTGTCCTGCCATGCAATAGTGGCATGGCATCAGAGGAACATATTCAGGAAATGTTGGACCCAAGGAGATTATGAATCCCGGAAGAAGTTGGCTGCCACCTGCAGGAAAATATCCCGTCCCACAACAGTGGCACAACATTGGAGAAATGCCTTCAAGAACGAAACTCCCCAGGGAACCTTCGGATACCGGAGAAAGGACTTGGTGCCACGGTCTCGTACCAGCAAGCAGCTGGAAGACCAGGAGGAACAACATCAAGGAGTGCAGGCCACGTTACGTCGACAAAGGAAATTTCTGAAGAAAGTAATATTCAAGAATTGGGCCTTGTGGAGGGGTTGACCTCCTCCAAAACGAAAAAATGATATAGTACACAGGAGGAGCCGGTAACGTAGAAACACCAGCCTCCCTAGCAAGAGTGAAAGAAAGAATGACAGTGAAGGATGAATCTGACACAACTGGTTCTTCTAGGCAAGTTAAAAGGAAACCGCTCGAGACGAGCTGGTCTTAAGAAGGGAGCGGTTGTAACGGAAGGAGAATAGTCGCTGCAAGGAGTAGCCAAAACACCGGGAGACCCACCAATCACATCCTTGGAAGAAAAGGAACAGGGGTGCACCGTTAGGCTATTCGGCATGAACAGCCTTAAGGAGGGAGCAGTGTGACGTGTTGCGCTATGCAGGACACCCCTCCCCCCCTGCCAGTGGTGACATGGCCAAGAGATGCCGAAGTTGCTAAGCAAAGCGGGTAAACAGTGGTTGCGAGAGACAATGGTAATGACAGGGGTACCCATTACGTAGCAGGCAAACACGGCGCCAGACAACAGTGGTGCCTATTACGTGGCTGTTTTCTGTGTTGTCCGGAACGAGGCTAAATAAGGAGCCGCAAAGACTATTCACAGTCAGTTCTCAAGTCAGCAGTGGAGTTAGTGTGTGATGAAGAGTGACACAGTTAGTGTGTGATCAGGAGTGACACAGTTAGTGTGTGATCAGGAGTTCTCAGTGTGTGAGCCGCACCAACACAGTTGGAATCTAGCAGCAGTCGCGGAAAGAAGAACCATACGCGTGTGTTAATCAGTGATAATTTGTAATAACTGAGAAGTAATTGGGAGTGTGTAACACAGTGACACTTATATAGCTCCCATACAGTGAATACGTGTAGACTAGTGAGATAGAGTGAAGAGATTATCGTGAATAGGGTTATAAAGTGTGAAACCTTGCAAAGTGAAGAGATTATTGCAAATATGGTTATAAAGTGTGAAACTCCGCAACAGTGTTATAATCAATTGTAGCCGATACTTGTAGGTTGTTAAATAAACCGATTAACAATCCGAACGGCGTCTTCAGTAACCCAACACGTTACAATAAGAAGAAGAAAAGTTATAGATCCTTCAAACATGTGGCACAGTTCAAATATTTAGTAATGACAGTTACAAATCAAAATTTTGAATTCAGGATGAAATTGCGAGGAGAATGAATCTGAGTAATGCTTGCTACCGTTCAGCCCAGAACAGTTTGTCTGTTCATGTTCTGTCTAAAAACATAAAAACTATAACACATAGAATTTTATAATTTTCCTGTGATTTTGTATGGGCTCAATATTTTGTCTTTGACATTAAGAGAGGAACACAGACCGAGTGAGTTTGAGAAGAGGCCGCTGATGAGTCATTTGGACTGAAGAGGGATGAAGTGAAAGACTGGAGAAAACTGTATAATGAGGAGCTTCATAAATTTTATTTTTTACCAAGTATAATTAGAATGATGTGGTTGAGATCAGATGGGCAGGGCATGTAACACACATGAGAAGACAAACACATACACATTTTTTGGTAGGAAAGCCAGAGGGCAAGGGGCCACTAGGAAGACCTAGACATATGTGGTAGGATAATATTAAAATGGATCCTTGGGGGGGGGGAAATGGGGTTGTATGTAGTGGATTGATCTGGCTTGGGATAGGGAACAGTGGAGGGCTCTTGTTAATATGGTAATGAACCTTCCAGTTCTATAAAATGTTAGGGAATTCTCGAGTAGCTGAGTGAATGGAGGCTTCTCAAGGAGGACTCAGCTCAATGGAGTTAATTTTTGTTAGTTATTGTATGCTTTTTCATTAATAACCCAATGAATTGTGGAACATTTTAACAGGCAATGTCTGCATCACCAGCAGACATTTACCAAACTGAAGCAAATTTCAGAACAGTACACATCAAAACTGGCTATAAACTTCTCTGCCAGATTTCAAAGTAATATGTTAAGAAATCATAGAAGGTTGTGACAGGGCAAATACATACACTGAAACTTAATAAAATATAAAAAAGAGTGTACATGCCCTCTCACTCATTTATGTGCTCTTGGTAAAACAGGCCACTCTCACAACACTACATACTTGTGTTTACAGATGTGAATGGGTTAAAATATGTTGTGTGCACGTAAATCATCCTGCATGCAACTAAATGTGGGAACTCCAAATATTTTATAATTTCCCACATTTGCATATTTACAAAATGTCTTTTATAGTAAGAAAACCGTAAGATATAAATACAGCAAATATTCTGACACACAAGTCACACGCCAGATCATGACTTAGGTGCCAGACTCCTTCCAACCTCACTGGCAGAAACACAACAAGACCTCACCATGTTTTCTTTCACACAAAGTATGCTGCCAGTTGAGCCATCTTGTCCTTTGGAGGTCTTGGCCTGCCCCTGCTACGCCCCCTGCCACCTCTCCCACGTGGAGCCCGGCTGCCTGGAGGTCGTGACACAGCCCGGTGTTTCTCAACTAATGGAGTGAAGTAAGGCGAACAAAACACACATCCACTCATCTCGGTTGCTTCGTTTATAAGCTTACTCTTATCCTGAAAGTGCAAAAACATTACCATGTTTGCTGTTAGACCCATGGAACAGTCCAGACACTAACTACCTAACCACCTAACTGCATGGAGCTCAGTCCTCAAAAAGCCACCAGCTGCTCGGTTACACCACCATTTCCCAACAACCTATGGAACCCTAACAATGATTACCATGAAGAATGCTGTCTTCTGGGATGTGGTGCCATAGAGATCTAGTGTAAACAGACGTTTCGGAGGGACATATCGCCTCCATATTCAGGGTAAAAAATCCAAGAGGAACCAGCATGTGAAGGTGGTTGCAGACTGAGGTTCCTCTGAAACGACGGTTTACACAAGATCTACGTGGCGCCACATCTCAGAAGACGGCATTCTTCATAGTGACTGTCAGGAAGACCTCAAATCTTACATTCATTACCATGTTTGCAAGAGCCCAACACTGACCCCTACACTGAGCCAGATTAATCCAGTCCATACTACCCCATTCTATTTCTCTAAGATCCATTTTAGTATTATCCACCCACCTATGTTTACATCTTCATAGCTGCCTCTTTCCTTCTGATTTTCCCATCAAAACCCTGTATGTACTTCCTTCCCCTGCATGCTGCATCTCACCCTCTCTGACTTCATAATTCTAATTATAAGAAGGTAAGTCAAGAAGTAAGTTACAAATGGATATAGAACTTAAGCAAATACGTATACTGATCTGAAAAATGCTTTTACGTCTGAACATAATCTCACTGTACATTGAGGCACTTGTCCCATCGTCTCACAAGCCCCTGAAAACCAGCAGCATAAAATTCTTCGGACTGCTGTCGGAACCAGGTGGTGCCTTCCCTTTCTACAGCTTCATCATCGGGAAAATGTTCAGCCGAAAGATGATGTTTAAGAGGGCCGAACAAATGGAAGTCGCTTGGAGCAAGGTCAGGGCTATATGGAGGATGCTCAATGAATTCCCACTTGAAATTTTGTGTCTCATTTGTCTTGTTGGCAGCATGGGGATGCACATTGTCATGCAAGAGCAACACGCCTTTGGTGAGGAGTCCTGGTCGCTTCCACTGAATGGCCTTACAAAGTTTCCTGAGGATGTTAGAGTAGGAGTTGGCATTTACGGTTTGTCCTTGAGGCTTGAATGCAGTAAGAAGTATGCCTTTGTGATCCCAGTCACCGCCTGGTTCTGACAGCAGCCCAAAGAATTTTATTCTGCTGGTTTTCAGGGGCTTGTGAAACGATGGGACAGGTGCCACAATGTACAGAGGGATTATGTTGAGAAACAAAAGCATTTTTCAAATTAGTACTCTTATTTAAGTTCTATATCCATTTGTAACTTACTTACTGACTTACCTACGTATCTGGCAGGGTAAAATTTATGAAGTTCCCCTGTATGCAATTTTCTCCAGCGTCCTGTTCTTTCATCCCTCCTGGTCCCAAATATTCCCCTCAGCAATCTGTTTCCAAACACCCTTAGGTCTATGTTCTTCCCTTAATGTTAAACATCAAGTTTCCAGACACTACTATAAAATATCCAAAAAAAAAGCAACAATTGTCCTAAAATGTGAGATATAAAGTTCACATGGCAGTACTTATGAAGAGTACTTCCAGAATGCAAAGCCATATAGCCTGGCAGAAGTTTATTTACCAGTGATTGAAAGGAACGTACCACCATTTTTTCACTTAGTGGGGGGTGGTCCAACTGGGTCCACTCAGCATGGCAGCCACTGATTAGCCTATTGTAGCCTGCCCCAGGTGATTATGATGGAGAATTCGGTGGAATGAAGATTGGGAGGGGAAACCCAAGTACTCGGAGAAAACCCGCCACAGTGCCACTTTGTCCACCACAAATCCCACTTTACCAGACCTGTGATTGAACCCGGGCCACCGCAGTGGGAAGCCAGCGACTAACCGCTTGAGCTATGGCGCGGCGGCCTTGGAACATACCACCATTTCTTCAGGGTCAAAGCAACAATCAGAAGACTCTACTTACTGTTAACCTTGGCCTACTCTTGGAACCTGAAAATGGAGGCAGTATATGCCTTCAGAACATCAGTAACTTCCACCAAACTACACAGTTATCACATCCCAGAAATAGTGTTCTTCATGACATTAAAATGTTTCTTAGAGCCTCAGGCTTAGAACTGCAAACATGTCATATGAAAATAGTCATTACTACTGAAAAGATTTTCCTGCACTCTTCTTCTCTCCTGGGATAAGGATGGCTGCTGCTGTTACATATGCACGTATGTACCATCTTTAAGAATCCAATGATCAGTCTCTAAGAGACTGAAGTTGCACTGAGGAAAATCCATTTTAAATTACTGTTCTTCTCTTATCTCTTTGATGATTTCAGTACAAAAATAGACAGTAATAAGCATATCTAAATGGGATTTATAAGTGAAGCTTGTAATTATTTTAAAGCAGAATGCTCTGATGTACATGCTGAAACAAGGGTCCAGTAGAATTGGCCTTCCTAATTACTGGAACACAAATATGAGACAGTGATGTGCGCACCTACTATCAGACATCCAGTCACTCAACCCAATAGATAGCGTCTCAGTACGTCTTTTGACAAGAATCTCTGCCAGAAGAGGATGTATACAAAAGCATATCAGTGTCACTGTACACATATCTAGGAAGGACACTAAACCTGCAATACCTCAGTGGGTAAAGTGATTAGCTACAGCACGGATGGCTAGAGAGTTCACTGTTGCATCACATCCAGAGCAATAGGGCACCGACGTTTCTTAATACATAAGGTAGGGGCCTGTGTGCTTAAGTGGAAATTACAAGTTGTCTCCCATGTCAATACAATATAACAAGACATGACACAAGAGTAGTAAGTCTCAATGGGTATCAAACATTACTTCCCAAGGGCAGAGTGGCTAAGGAGTGAAGCTGACTACTCGCCTCCATCTACTGCTACACATGGAATCCATGTCCGCTTGGCCCAAAGGTAAAGCAGCCCAAGTGCAAAGGTGGTGACTTGCCTCTATCTGGTTCTTAATTTAGAGCTCTGTATTGACTTCTTGGCCATGTTAGGAACTTGTACTCTTCTCCAAGTATAATTAGAATGATCAAGTCAAGGAGGATGAGGTGGGCAGGTCATGTAGCACGAATGGGAGAGACGAGGAATGCGTATAGGATATTGGTGGGAAAGCCAGAAGGAAAGAGACCACAGGGAAGACCAAGGCATAGGTGAGTGGACAATATTAGAATGGATCTTAGAGAGATAGTATTGGATAAATCTGGCTCAGGATAGGGACCAGTGGAGGGCTCTTGTGAACACGGTGATGAACCTTCGGGTTCCATAAAATGCTGGGAAATTCTTGAGTAGCTGCAGAATTGGCGACTCCTCAAGAAGGGCTCAGCTCCATGAGTGAGTGAGTGAGTGAGTGAGTGAGTGAGTGAGTGAGTGAGTGTGAGTGAGTTAAGTGAGTTAAGTAAGTAAATAAGTAAGTAAGTAAGTACTGAGTGGCCTCCGTGGTCTAGAGTTAATGTTCCCACCTCATGACTCATGGTACGCGGGTTCAAACCCGGCGGAGGTCATGGAATTTTTAAAGGGCGCAAAAATTCAGGGAACAAGTCCTCCGGGAGGGACTTTAAGCCGTGGGTCCCGTGTCGTAGCTTTACAGCACGTAAAAGAACCTCATGTCTCAAGGAGGCCTCTGAATCAAATTATCGGACATTTACCGCCCAACAAGAGTCTCTAACGCCTCTGGTAGATGGGGGAAGCATTTGGTACTGCTGAGCCAGTAGAGGCTGAACTCACTGGCTGAGTCAGGGCTGATGGCACGCACCAGTACTGGTAGGGTATAGAGACTGGTAGAACATCAAAGGGGGACGTACACTAGACTACTAGTCGCGGTGCATGGGGAAACCCACCCCCTCCAATAATAATAATAATAATAATAATAATAATAATAATAATAATAATACTTCTTGGTACACAGGCTGAGGGGGGAGAGTACTCTGTTTTTTTGTATCATATACCTCAATATGGGCTCTACAAGACTCTGGTAGTCTCTGCCAGCTGGTAAAGTGAAGGATCAATTTCACATCAGAGACCTCCCCAAGGTTAATTCCGATACTCCCAATGACACGGTGGAAACACATATAACAGCTGGCAGAGAGGACCTCCAGCTGAACTTGGTGTTCACTATTTTCAATAAATATAACTCTGATGCCTGCATCTTATGCAGCATTATCAGAATGACTGTATCATGTCTCACCTTAAGATCGTGTCACTAGGAGATAAGATCTGAATCTAAAGCAACTGGGTGCAGATGCAAAGAAGAAAGGAAATTTACCAAAGACATTTTTAAATGAAATGAGAAAGGTATGTGAAGTTACTGTCTTGTTTCCTCCTCACACTTGCCCTTGTGTCACCTGTTCGCATAGAATATGTAGGACTGTACCAAACTCACCTGTTTGTATTCCACATTAACAAGTTGCGCACCACACAACATGCACACTCCATCCTCAACAGTCACCTTCTGTGCATCGTCAAACAAATGAATGATCACATCACATCTGTAATCAATAAAACATTCTCAGTGAGGTCATCTTACATTTTTGTATCACAGTTAAATCCCCATTTATGGTTTCTCTGTGGACCAGTGGATTCAAACACATACTGAGAAAATATCTCAAGTGGATGCAACTTAATGCTGATATTATTCATTCTGGATCACTGAAATTAGAAACTAATGAAGAGAAACCTTAAACTGAGGTACATTAAATGGGACGTCCAATGTATCCTGAAAATGCTCAGTTTATTAATTTCCTAGATTAGGACCAATGGTCTGTTCCATCTCCATTAAGCTGTTTATAAGTCTTTTTAACATTCATTTTTCCTTGTGGAACAAAATTCAGCACTCGATTTATTTACATTCTTCAGTATGACCACACTATTCACTTCTGCAGTCACAAATTCCATCTGTGACATTAATCTGTAATTCTTCTCTAATACCTACACCCCCTTTTATCTGGTCTTCAGGTGAAACATCTGCTAAAGGTATTGTAGCATCCAGTCTTACTGCTTTCTGGGACATAACACCAGGCAGTCTAGAGAAGTCCACCTTCAACATCCACTGGACTACGCAGCACCACATCCCAGATGATATAACTTTTAGTCACAACCGTGAAATCCCCAAAACCAATTTATTATTTCCTGATTCTCTGGAGGTCTCTGACAATGACTTATTCTGTTGTGCCATGATGCCAGAAGTCAGAATCTTGGATTCAGAGAAGCATTGCAGAGGCATCCATTGCTAAGCAAAAGCTTGTTAAAACTTCTTTCCATGGCAACAAATATGCATACAACAGCAGAGGAAATGTTAGAGGTACTGTGTTCTAACCTGATCAGTTCATGTCAAGGCTATATGAACAGGGCTAGCGAGGCCCGTCATAGTTGCATGACTCCTAGACTTGAGAGAGAAAAATAGTAATTTGTAGATTGTTAATAATTAAAGAAATTTCATAATTATCTCCAGGTAAGCGTAATAAGTGTCCAATAAATTCAAATATCAATCCAAACCATGCCTAGTCACTAACATGTGGCAATAAATAACAGTATTATCTTGGACTCTGTATTTTCAGTTATGTTTGATATATATGACATTTACAGATGCTGCCTTTGCTAAGTCAACACACTTCACAGTAGCATAATATGTCACCATAATGACTAAATTTCGCAAAGGAGAGGCTTGAACTGTTTATGGTTTGTCCCATGTGACCCAATAAAGTCAAACAAACTGGAAACATCAGTCAATCTATTTTAATCCCAAAGCTTACCAATTAGGTTTTGCTGATGGATAATGCAATGATACTGTAATTCATTCTGGAGATCTAACTTGTGCACGTGCTTGTAAATAACAGACAACTAACATTTTCAGATATATCTAAAAGGGGGCATGTGTGTGTGCATGCAAACACACACACACACACTTCTCGCCACTAGAATGGTCAAGGAACGCACCTAGTGGGTACTATAAAATCTTCCCCTGAGGGCAGAGTAAGTGGTGTGAGGCTGGCATAGCAACTCCATCCCCCTTCACAATCTCTGTGTGATGCTTCCATCCATCTTCATCAGAGGCTTTGCAAACATACATACAAGGAAGAAAAGCGGCCTCCATAGTCTAGGGGTAACATTCCCACCTCATGACTCAAGGTATGCGGGTTCAAACCCGGTGGAGGTCATGGAATTTTTAAGGGCAGAAAAATTCAGGGAACAAGTCCTCTGGGAGGGACTTTAAGCCGTGGGTCCCATGTCGTAGCTTTACGGCACGTAAAGAACCTCATGTCTCAAGGAGACCACTGAGCCAAATTTGTAAGGACATTTCCCACCCAACAATAGTCTCTAACGCCTCTGGTAGATGGGGGAAGCATCTAGATATCGCTGAGCCAGTAGAGGCCGAACTCGCTGGCTGAGTCGGGACTGATGGCACGCACCAATACCGGTAGGGTATAGAGACTGGTAGAATATCACAGGGGGACATACAATAGACCATTGGTCGCAGTGCATGGGAAAACCCACCCCCTCCAAGAATAATAATAATACAGGTAAGAAAAATTCACATGTGGGACTACAGTATGGTGATACTATTTTGATTAAACCTTAATCTCTATAATCATCACCATCTTTTCAAGGATTAGGTAAATCGCCCGATCTGCCCTATATTGTCATGACTCCTTATGCCTTCGTCTTGTCTTTCCTATGTCTCATCTCCAAGACAAAAAATAATTATGGGCTTGAAGTGCAATTTAAATCTATTCCATCCTTTGTATGTCTCTACAATGTCCTGATCTAAGTCCTTTAGAGCCAGTCCAGTGTTTACTATGAGGTTTATCAGTAGATAGAAGTTCATTCTGGCAGCACAACAAGCCCTGCACAGAGCTAACTCAGTGTTGGGGATGCCACCTCTGTGCTTCACCTTGTAGGATGTTTCTTCATGTCACCTTCCCTACATGTGCTGCCTTCACCATGGCTGTTGTCCCATCTGCCCACTGTGGGTTACTCTTGGCTTCCCCTCACCTCTTACCACCTAGCATGGTCATCTGGTTCATCAGGCACTAGGTTCTCCCACCACAATAAGGTGAATACACAATAACTCACATACTGAATTTTGCAGAGAACTGGAGAGCATTCCTGCTGTATATCTGGGAGGTAAGTCTGAATCCCACCAGCCATCCTGAGGTTTCACATGACTTCTCTCACTCTCTCCAACAAAATACCAGAACCATATTTTCAAACAGTCCATAACAACCTGTTCCTCAGGGGCAATATGCCACCCTACAATGAAACAACTTCCATAAGCTACATTCGCATGTTCATATTACCTATTGCAACCAAGCTTCCACTTGGGCCCAGAGGCAGGGTCGAGCACCAAAACACCACCCTCACACTCTATGCAGCTGGAGATGCCAGTACTGTTCAGGCTGTGTGGACATGTTGGATGAGTGCATGCATTGCAACCACTGCCTTTCCTCATCTCCCTACAAAATCAATTATTGCTGATATTAAACACAATCTTAGAACCACTCCATATTTCTTGAACAACGGTTAAAAATCCTAACTTATTTAACAACACTGCTGATTACACAGGCTCAATTGACTGGAATAATGAACTGAAAAGCATATGGAAGGAAGTCCTCAAGGCACCTAATGCTTCACATACATTACATGCATATGTTGTCCTGTATATGCTGAATTACTAGTACTTAACACATTGCGGACCAGAGGGGCCATATGGCCCTCTACGTTTCCAAGCGTTGCGGACCGGTCGGGCCATATGTCCCTCTACGGTCATGTTATGTTGCAAAACGCTATATATCGCTGTGTGACTTTGTTGAATCGTAACTACGGCGTGGATGACCTCGGGAATGATTGCTGCCTTATCTAGTAACTCGACCAGAGTCATTTCCTGCCACAACCTAAACAAAATTGGCTTTGTTCTAATCCAAGCTTGCACGTATAAACCACGCAGCTACCATTTCAAATGGCTCAGAGACGAAAGCAGTTGCGATCTCTCAGAGGACAGGAAATATTAGATATGTTCTCCAATGAGCTATCAGATTTTGCAAATGCTTTGTCTTCTGA